ATTGTCAACAATAAGCCATCAATATCGATGAGGTCTACAGGTCAACATTGAACATACTTTTGTTCCTGTCCTCAAGGGAATAACAGTTCGGGGAAAGCGACTGGATTAATTTTCTCTTCAATATTATTGTGATTTTAGCTAAAACAAAAATATATATGCAGCGTTTATTAGCAGCCTGCATTTATAAGTAGATGAAGCACCCAAACATTTTATTGTCTATTCAAAATAACTCCTACAATTCTTATGATTATTCAAGTAATATATTGCATTGTATTTATAACAACGTATCTGATAATGCAATCTGTGTCTGATGATCTCCATTTATGATGAATWCATACCTTAACACTCAGTTAAGTGTTTCGTAGATCAATTGTCTGCAAATTTTGCCTTTTCTGGCTGTTTTTTCGCTAAGTTAGCATCTTTAATGATAAAGTGCAGATGCCATTATACATCATTTGTCATATAAATAAAATGGTTCACTGACTTAGTTATAAGCCATCAACTATTACTGACCCTGGCATCTATTTTGACCTTTGGTCTGGTTCTTTTGCTAATCACAGTTGGAAAGGTTATGGCACATTATGATTCATATAGAACGGACGTTACTTTTTCAGACAGCCACCTGCAATTTCTAAATCTCATGAAAACCCTAATGGTTGACCATGCATTAATTCACAAGTATTAACTGCATGACAGGTTACATGATATTGGCACAGTGCGCACAGTCTCAGATTCATGATGCTGCGTTTTTTTTAAGTACTTAAATGTGTCAGCACAGGGGCAGATCCAGGGGGTGGTTGGGTTTGGGAGCTATGGGCTCAGGGGGAGGGGGGACGGGGGAGTTGTTGCAACCCCATTTTTGGGAAATTTCTGATTTATTTGTACGTTATTCATTTAATGTAAATATTATTTGTATCATAGAATTAATCAAAACATGTTTTACTTTGTAATCATATTTTGTTTATAGAATTTATGAAAACATAAGCCATATAAATAAAACCCTCTAAATGGAAGCGTTTCATTTCTGAGGACATTAACAAGGGGCAGAATATATAAATTATTATTATTATTATAGTCTTTATTAATAAAGATTATACACGTATCCTATTTTACAAAATTTAGAAAGGTGAAATACAATAAATTATGGCCTCCTTTCTCCATATAGAAATTTCTTATTTGGCAGTGCGTCATACCCAAAGACATTTGCTATCTGCTTATTATGTACACCTGCACATGTATCCAGGAATCTGCCTAAATACTTATACTGCATTTTCTGTTTCTTTGTTTAGCTTGTCCTGGCAATCCTGTATGTAGTTCCGCTGGGAAGTGCTATGATAAAGTGTCTGGAAATGGAACTTGTTCCTGTCAGGTATTATATTATTA